TCTGGAAAACCACGTAAGAACAAATTAAAAGTATTTTAAAAGAGACCAGGTTGTTTGAAAATCCTAAACGAATGCTAAAAATCATAGAATCAAAACATTCTGGTGTCTGCATGAGCCAGAGTGTCATCGAATTGCGATGTAATGTAAACAGAAATTATAGCAAGCTGATGTCAGTCAGCTTAGATGGTCCAAGCCAAAATTATATCGCATTTGAAGTTTCAAACTGTGTTAAAAATAGTGGAAGAAAAGCCGTAATTATACTTATTGTTACAATCCATTTATTAAAATGCAACATTTTTTTGTTTTAATGAAAAATCAGTTATTTTCATGAGAACGATTTGTTATTCCATCTCAATTTTTTTAATCTCCAATCGCAATAACGTAAAGTATTATTACCCGCGAACCAATGAGTCAAATTTAAGAAACAACCCACTGTTAGAAAGCTGAATGGCTGCGCTTTAAAATGAATGTAAACTTTAACGTTTTCGTCTATTATTTGTTTAGCAATTTACATTTCAGTCGAGGATTGCGCTTTTTTTGATACACCCTGTATATATATATATATATATATATATATATATATATATATATATATATATATATATATATATATATATATACCGGGTGTCCCAAAAAAAACTTGCGCTGTTTGATTTCATGTAACGTAAAAACTATAAAAGCTACTACACTCAAATAAATTTTATTGTATTCAGGAAAAACTAACTTAGATTTTGATATACAGCCCTAAAAATTCCATTTAATATTACGTGAGATACAAATGTTTGAATTTGGCGCACGTATAAAAATGAGTAAAAAAATCGAGAAACATGGCTGATCAAATTTATATGAAAACAATTGCCATTTCCCACAAAAATTAACAATTTCAATTTTAGCATTTCAAATCAACTTTAATTTCGGGTAATGTCCTAGTATAAGTTAGCCTTTCGTGTTTCTTGGGAAGCGAAATAAGCATGAAACATGTAATAACGTTCGAAATCATATTTGACGTCCTTTGGGAGTTCGAATTATAAAGTTGGTCTTCGTTCGCCTTTCGAATATGCCTCGATTAACAAAGATCAAACAGTTTGGGTTTTATGGTTTCCCGTGCAAGATATTGGACACGTGAAAAAAGACATACTTTCTAAGACGAATGAATTAATTGGTTATCCAACAATTATGTTTCTCATTCGTTCTTTTGGCCACAATAATAAAACTATATATCAAGGTTAACCAAATAATATTTGATAGTCAATTTTATGCAAATTTTTAACATTGTCAAATATGTTTTTCAATTTAAAACATCGATAGCTCAGCAAATGTTGCACGGACATTCAAATGTTATATATCAAAATCTAATTTAGCCCTTTCTGAATACAATAAAACTTATTTGAATGCAATAGCTTTTATAGTTTTTACATTACATTAAATCAAACAGCGCAAGTTTTTTTGGGACACCCGATATATATATATATATATATATATATATATATATATATATATATATATATATATATATATATATATATATATATATATATATATATATATATATATATATATATATATATATATATATATATATATATATATACTGTAGAACCCCCACAGGGTCAAATTTACAAGTTAATTGAAAAGTATTTTTGAGATGTGGATCGGCAAACCTCAAAATGCCATCATACCGTTAGCGCATTGACAAGTCGGAAGATTTTATTTCTATTCAAACAACAACAATTTAATCGGTATATAATATATACAAATGTAATGCAAGTCGGTGAAGAGATAAAAAGTTCAACAAAATGCGTCGATCGTTACCGATCTAAAATATCAAAACAACAAGGATTCGCTGCAAAAAGTAGCGGGCTCGAAATTGAAAAAACTGTAGTGGGCTGAAAATTGAGCATTTTGAGCCTTGCTCAGTGGTAATTACCATGAATTTAGGGACCAGTCGTGATGGAAATGAAGTCAAATTTCATCAAAATCCGCCAGGTCTTCCAGTTATTATACAGCTCAGTGATCCATGCTAAAAGCACCGTTAATGAGATCAAAAATTAATCCAAGATGGCGGACAGCTCGTTGTTTTCAGTCAAAATATAAAATACTTAAGCAAGACATGAAGAAAAAAAAACAGTTACGGAGTTTTGTGTATAATTTTTAAGTGAGACAAACTAAATTTTTAATGCCATATCCATTTAACCGCTTTAAATTGAATTTTTTTCTCTTTCCCAGGGCGGGACGATTTCAGAGAATATGGATGAATTATGTCCCCAAGATCAGTGGTTTAGTCCTGGAATGTTAACAAGGGTGGCTCTCCGAAAGTGTCGATCTTGAATTGGCGGAAAAGTTGCAATATGATATTTTGGAAATTCTAAATTTTTGGGGGTTTATTTTAGTAATAGCATAGTTGCCCGGGTTTCTTTTGTTTCAACCAGAGCTTCCACTCGGAAGGAAATTTTCTTCCAAAAGGATATTTTGGCATTTGGAAGGAAAAATAAAAGGAAATAAGATTTGGAAGGAAATTGGAAGGAAATTCGGACATTTTGAAGGAAAAGAGAAGGAAATTTTACAATTTAAACTTTTTCAGTAATTTCTAGTAATTTAATAATGGTTAAACACTTTATTATGAACTTTTCACTTCAAAAACATTTATAAAAACAATACTTTGGATATTTACATAACCATCAAGGATGAATGGGGGTAATTTGGGACTTAACAGGTCTTCAGTGAATGAGTAGAGTACATGTATATAAATAACGGGGGCTCAATTTTTTCGCGGGTTTTTAATTTTTATAACCCAAAATTAAAAACAAACAGTCGGAAAAAGGGAAACTGTAATTTCTAAGCCAAAAAAAGTAATTTATAAATTATGATGGCTCATATTTAGTCATTGAGTCGACATCAAGTAGTTTTCAAATGCAAACGGAGTAGAAAGCGTGCAGGAATAGTGTCTGGTCCAAAAGCAAATTCATAAAAAAGTCGTTTTACTATGTCTTTCGAGAAAACAGACAAAAAATGAGACAACAGAACATGTTGTTTCAGGTTAAATTAGAGTTTCACTATTTGAATACTGCAGTACACCTTCAATTTACATCGGAATAAAGTACAATACAAAATTTACTATACTATTTTAAACTGAGATTGGAAGGAAAAATGGAAGGAAATTTAGGATTTTGGGAAGGAAATAACCCGCTAGAGCGGGCGATTAGAACTAATCGCCCGTTACCTAGGGTCACACCTTTGTCTCCCTGACGACTACGCATTAGGCAAGTGCCTCACGCACATAATCGTGCAAGGAACAGCAACAGTTAGCTCAGAGCCGTCAATAGTCTATCATCCGATCCCTGAGTTGCCGCATCATTTAAGTTACGCACGTGCAGTCTCCAATTTTATACTAATATATTTAGCGTTTTTGTTGTGGTACGTTAAATGATAGATTGCGCATGCGTAACCGATTAAAGCGTAAAAAGTGCGCATGTGCAACAAGCTTTTACATCCCACAAGCAATGAAGCAAATGTTTTAGCTTAAATACGCTGATTCCAAGTAGGGCATGTTTGTCCATTTTTAAATGGGAGCGCAACTATGCTATTACTGAAACTAATAGCATGGCTTTTCGGGAGATTATGGGAATACGACCCCCCTTACCCTCGGCAGGTTTGCGGAATTCCTTCGGGCTTCGCCCTCAGGGATTCCGCAAACCTGCCTCGGGTTACGGGGCCATTTAATCACTAATCTCCCTCAAGCCATGCTATTACTTATAATAATTGTGGCCAAACTTTCAAAATTATTCTTATTAAAAACAATTGCAGTTATAGTAATATAAAATATTTTGAGCGTCTCAAAAGAGGGTCCTGAAGGGGGGGGGGGTCGTATTCCCATTTCCCAGCCCAAATTTTGACTAAATCCCATTGTCCTAGAGCACAAATCCCATCATCTCTGTAGCTGTCCTGTTCAAATCTTAATCCCATTCCCATTTTCTATTGTTTTTTGCTGATGAATCCCAGTCCCAGTGCATGAAATCCCATTTTCCCACCCAAAAATAAGCAAATCCCAGTTCCCATTTTACCCCTTCAGGACCCTCTCAAAAGGGTATGGAATTCACCACTTTTTGAAGATGTAATTAAAGCCGGTGGTGTACCTTCAAGCGAAAACTACATCAGTGGTATGATTAATTAGCGAAAAAAAATTTCCGTCCTCCAAACAATTTCGCCCAGTTCGGGAATTGAAAAGCGGGGTTAAGAAAATAAGAAAATTTCTGGCTGGGACTAACTTTGATTCCTGGTCTAAATTTTCCATATTGCTAACAGCCTAATATTCAACAGTAATATATATTTTGAAATATCTTCGGGAAAGCTCTTTAATAGCAGCTGTATTAGCTGTATATTAAACTAAATCAGACAAAACAGAATCGGTACTTCAAAAGCCAATTTGCTACAGCGCATGAACAACACGATTTAAGTAAAGACTACACTGAATCATTATCGTGTTAAATGATGACTGAAAATAAAATCCAATTCTAAAGAACATTCTCGTTTGCTGTTAAGATTACACAACGTCCAAAAAATATACAGGGGGTGTCAGTCCCCCCC